AGGCCCAAAGGATAATTATTTTCCAGGAATATATTTGTCAGCCGTTGTAACTCTTTAGTCAAATGTTTGCCATTCGCTAGCTTCATACTTCTAAGAAGCATTGACTTCAAAATTCTTACCTTAGTCTTGTAACTATAGTTGGAAAGAAAATTAAGCAAGAAGCCAACATATGTTGGCTTCCTATAAACATCTCATCCTAATCTACCCTATTCTCTAATGATGAGAACATCCATAAAAGATAAGGACATATTCTCTTCCATTTCTATCATGAAGCTAATGTTCTTTTCACGCTGGTTGAGTGAAAGTATAAAAATATCTAAACTGTCCTCACCATGAGGCAAGATGACAAAATAGTCATCCATGTATCTACCCAGCAATTTGGGGGTTAGTATTGCCTCTTGCAGGAAGTGTTACTCCAGTCTTGCCATATATTTGTTCGCCAAGATGGGAGTTAAGCAAGATCCCATCGCTAATGTTTGTGTTTGTTCGTATGACTTACCGAGGTGATAGGTTAATAAGTCTAATAGTGAATGCAACACTCAGCCTTATTCCTTGTGTTATCTTTGGATGTTCCTCCATAGTTTGTATCAGAGCTTAAATAGCTCATTGAACAGGAATGTTTGTGTACATAGACACAACATTAAAACTTACTAGCCTATCCTCTTCTGTAATTGTCTACTGATCTAGCAATTTCACAAAATCATACGAATTTTTAACTGAATATAGCCTATAATTGACAGAGTTCCTTAGTTGTATGCATAAAAAACGTGAGATTTATGCATCAAGCTTCCTTTATTATTCACAATTAATTTTAGAGAGATACCCTCTTTGTGAACCTTAAGGATACCGTAAGCCTTAGGGACGCTTGCATTTCTCTGGGTTTGTGAATTCATTTTCCACTTCTCCTTTTTATCATTACTTACGCACACCTTAAGGGCATCCTTTAGCCTAGTCTTAAGGCTTTCTGTTAAGTCTCTCAATAAAGGCCTATACGTGTCATTGTCATTTAAATGAACCAGCTATTTTTCTACATAACTTGACTTATCTATGACCACCACTTCTTCACCTTTGTCGGTTATCGTTACGATTAGATTATTATTACACAGATAACTAGAAACCCTACTAAGATGACAAACTTTTATAGGCGGTATTATATGATCAAAACCTCCAGTTCAATACTATTTTTTACCTCTTCAGGCAATCTATCAGATAAGCTAATTAATTTACCAAGTATTTCTAGATAATGGTTTACCTCATTTGGAAGAGCAAAATTCAATCCTCTTTCCAATAAAAGGACTACACTATCCTCCAGAGTTGTACTAGATAAATTGATTACCTTATCCTTCCCCACTTCGTTACAACCATGGTTAGTAAGACTTACCTTAGGCGCATCACCTTAAACTAAATGGAGGGAACACAATTCATATACACTTATAGTGTCCTGGTGTCGATATGGTGAGCTCGTATTTGACATTCAACTTGAAGATATTATTTTATTAAAAAGGAGTAGCGTCTAAAGTATCGGTAGACCTTTCACAAAAACTGGCATCACACCAATTTAATTGTGGGCCATTCAACTATTGGGCCTTCCATTGCCTCAAGCGGCCGTAGGTTGTCCTAGTTTTTATGATAATTCATATAGCTTGTCATTTCTGATTTATATTGCCCTACTTGACCAGTATATGTATAAGTTATTCTGCCCCGAGGGGCAAACGAGATGCTGATTCCAGACACAAAGCTAAAATGTTAATTTACTTAGTCTAGAATGCTAATAGGACAAGGAAAAGGGAATTATATCAACTACAATTACAGTGTCGTTTAATCCCTTTGTACTTGCCCTTCTCTGCATTTTAATTTCCGTCTAGGATTAGATGTGCGTTCAGCGCACATTGGATGCTCGAGAATATTGACCAATTATGCAAAATCTCACCTCATGATGACCAGACTCTAGGACGGAGGACTTTGGTACGCTGACCGATAACAGCATTAAGCACCGAAACGGTCTGAGACGGTTGCCATGGCCTGATGAGAGGAGCAGCACTTGTAGATGAGCCGGTTTTAGTCATTCATTCCAAGACCCATTTGCCTTGTAGTAGATCCGAGTTGCCCCGGTATGCGGCTTTTGAGAGAGAAATGGCCTCATTTCGAGGAATTTTAGTTCGTCATTGAGGCCCATCATCCAAGAGCGAAAGTGTTCTATATATCCGGCATGAGGTAGTCTGAGCATTAAAAAATGTGCCTTGTTAAAGGTCTGTTTCTCAGCCTGTCTACAAGAAACTTTGCGGGGTCAGTAGAAAAGAGTGCTATTAAAAGTACCGATGTCTCGAATCTCGGTCATTACACCGCCTCGACGTGACGACTCTGATGTTATGTGATTCGACCTGAATCATAAATAAGCTGTCTCAAATGCGAATCTGGCTGGCATAGTTTTTTGTATGCTTGAGACAGAGTTGCTGGACCGGTAGAAGAGCAGAGACGAAAGATGGGAAATGAAGCGGTGGTCGCCTCAGCACGACCACGACAACCTCAGGCCTAAAAGCCGCAGTGCTTAAATTCCTTCCTACATAATTTAAGGACTGAGACAGGCTTGTATTGATCGGGAAGGCTCGAAATGCGAAGCCAGTCACGCCTGGTTGAGAAAAGAAGCAGAGCGAGAAGACGACAGAGCGACGCCAATTCAGCTCGCAAGGTCGGATAACGCCTGGCTCGAGTGAAGCGTGTGCATTCAGTTCATGGCATGGCACACACGACGACTGACGAACAGAGAATGGACCAGACATGCGGTATGCCTTAGGATCGATACTCTTAACTGAGTTAAGTGGGCTTCACTGGCAAAACTGTGGAGAGGGTTAATCGACCGACGAACTCACGACGCGCCATTAAATACAATTCGGTGAGCAAAATATGATTGGAGAGACAAAAATTCGAGGATGTAATTTGGTAACATCACGATTACACGAGCAGGACATAGTTAGGCTGAACATCGTCTTGATGCTCAGGGTGCTTGTTATATTCGAGAAAATGAAGGGTATGAAACCGCTCACATCCATTTCGCTTGTACCACGCCTTTCTAAGAAGTTCCATCACATTCACCGCAATTGACTTGTTCCTAGAATGACGTCACCCTGTCTACGGTTTTTTTATGTGGAAAAAGTTCTTTTTGGTCTTTTCAGTCAGTACAGAAAAACAATTCAAATGTATAGATTCGAAGAGAAACTGGGTTTCGATTAATCTCTTGAGATAACATTGTTAGGAGGACTTTCATTTCGGGTGAAAAAGGGGCTGAGCTTTCGTCCATCATATGATGGACATCGTCAGAGCTGGGTGTGATTCTTGTAAGTCTCACGTTAACACAAGGGCAAGACTGTGGTTGCGTAATCTGACATGTCTGGTTTGGTTGATGAGCTTAATCTAACATTGAAGATATGTTAAGGACTCCCTACCGATCCATTGTGATTCCAGGATATCATCCTCTCGGTCTAGGATTTCCAGCAGGGCCGTTAGTGCATTTTCTCCAGAGATATTTGTATACATGGATTTCATATCGAAACTTACCAATAAGTCTGTTTCTTCAAGTTCCATGTCTTTGATTTTTTGAGAAAATTCATATGAATGTTTCACTGTGTTGGATAGCCTTTCATTTAATTTCTTGAGTTTCAAATATATACAC